AAGAGCTGGGGGATGTCCAGGATGTCCGGCTCGGCCAGGCCCAGCGCCCGCTTCAGGATGTCCCTGTTCCAGCTGATGCAGCTCTGCAGGGAGTGAGGGGAGAGGTGTCAGTGGTGGGGACAGAGGGATGGACAGAGAGATGGAGGGACGGAGAGATGGACAGATGGAAGGAGGGAGAGGTGAGTGGATGGAGGGATGAATCAACAGAGGGATGGGTGGATGGATGGAGGGACAAACGGATGGATGGGTGGATGAAGGAATGGATGGACAGAGGGATGAAAGGGTGGAAGGAGGCAGGGATGGAGGGATGGACAGAGGGATATGTGGACAGATGGAGGGACAGAGGGATGGAGGGATGGGTGGATGGACAGAGGGAAGAAGGAGTGGATGGATGGAGAGGCAGAGGGATGGAGAGATGATTTAAGGACAGATGGAGGGATGGATGCATGGGTCCCAGGTGGGACAGAGGGATGGACAGAGGGATGGACAGAGGGACAAAGGGATGTGTGGCTAGATGGAGGGATGGACAGAGGGGTGGAGGGACAGAGTGGGCTGGAAAGGAGCCCCCCCACTCCTCTTCCTCACCTGGGCATAATTATTGAATTTCCGGAGGCTCTCGTTAGCCAGGATCTCATTTATCGTCGGCTTGGGCACCCCCTGCAGCCCTGCAGCACAAATCACCAGGCAGGAGCTCCTTGGGACCAGAGTCCCAGCTCCGAGCCAGGAGCTCCCCCATTTTGGGCGTCACCGGCCACAAGCTCCATCCCAACCCAGGAAATCAAATCTGTGCAGCTTTTTATTTACTTCTGCTTATTTCTGCTCCCCATCCTTGCTGCCAGCAGCATTAGCTGGGTTTCAGGCTGCCATGCATCCACCCACTCCATTGCATTTCGTGGGAAAAAGGGAAAACCAACCCATTCAGCCCCATTTTTCACTCTACCTTCAAACATCGCTGCCTCGCCAAACCCCTCCTCCTGCTTCTCCTTGAGCAGCTGGTAGCAGGCGCTGGGGCTGGCCAGGAGCAGCCGAAAACCCTGGGGAGGGAAGAAAGGGACGGTTTGTGGGGGTAGTAAAGGTTGCACCTCACTTTTTTCACTCCCCATGGGACTCATTACCTTCCGATCGGGCGCTGGGACGAAGCTGAGAAACTCATCGACGTGGCCAACCTGGAGCCAGTCCGAAAACAGCTCCACCGGCGCCTGCACTTGTTGGGCAAAGAGAAAATCCTTGACGGCTTTCGCCATCCGTCGGCCGCCAAATCTGGGGGGACACAAAGAAGGGGCTGCCATTATGGGGTGCCCAAAGTGATGCTCATTGTAACCAGCCTCAAATGGTGCATAAAAATCATTTCTGGGGGGGGTTTCCAATGCTCTGACCTCCCCCATCCTGCCTCGCACCTGGGGAAGCTGCTGCCGATCAGGATGCGGCCCAAGGGGTACTCCTTGCCCCGCACCGTCACAGGGGGGCTCACCTCCAAATTACCAAAGGAATCAAGGCCAGAAGCACCCTCGGGCGCTTGCCGGGCCACATAACCGAAATCGGGGCCCTGGATAGGGAAAAAAGGTGATAACAGTTTAAAAACAAAAAGGCAATAATGGTTTAAAAAACAGCTGTAAGCACCCAAAAATGCAATACTCCCAAATCAACAAGAAAAAAAAAATGATTTATTCTTTTTTTTAACACGTTTGCAAAGCTTTATGCCTTGCTGTGAAAGGGAGGAGGAAGGGGTCGGGTACCAGGATGCTCTTGACAGGGAAATCCTTCAGCCCCCGGTCACGGGGCGAGTCGAAGACAACAGGGAAAGTCTTATGAGGGGCTTGCACGTAGCCAAATTCCACCTCATCCTGGAGAAAGAATGCAGGAGATGGGGTGGACCCCCCTGGAGCTGCTGCAATGAGGAGGGGGCTTGGGCACCATCCTGCACCCCCCTGGATCCAGCGGTCGTGGCCGTTCTCCGGCAGCGGGCAGACGGTGAGGGGGCACTTGGCTTTCTCAGCCATGGCACCCACGGCCGTCACGAAATCCTTGTTGTCGTCCACGCTGGGAAGGAAAAAATGGGATATGGGGGCTTCTCCAGCACTGGGCAGGATGCGGCCGCCCACCCAGCACCCACCTGCAGACGAAGACCTCCAGCGGCGCCGCCGTGTTGGGAGTCATGATCCACGGAGCCACGCGGAAAACCACCGTGTCGGTGAAAATTGGTATCTCCAGCAAACCCTGGGAGGGGGGGACGGTGTTTGAGCTCTGCTGCCCCTTGTTATGGGTCACCCCGACCCCTCTCCACGGCCAGTACCTTCTCGGGGCTCTCCAGCAGCGTGACATGGAAAGCCACCAGCCCCGAAAAGCCGACGTCGGGGAAGGCGAGCCCCTCCACGTAGAAGATGCTCTCCTCCTGGTGCCGGCTGGGTTTGATGGCGTAGGCGAGCTTCGAGCCCCCCAGTACGTGCTTGTACTCCTCCAGCGCAACGCTGTCTGCAGGTGCAAGCACCACGCAACCCCCTTAAACAACCAACCC